TATATTTCTAAGTGCTTTATTATTATTATTATTATTATTTTTGCAGTTGTTATAAAAGGGATTGAGTTCTGATTTGATTCTCAGTTTGGTCATTGTTGGTGTATAGCAGTGCTACTGATTTGTGTATAGTGATTTTATATCCTGAGACTTTACTGAATTCATTAATCAGACCTAGAAGCTTTTTGGACGAGTCTTTACGATTTTCTAGGTATAGGATCATATCATTGGCAAACATTGACAGTTTGACTTCCTGTATTAGTCCATTTTCACACTGCTACAGAGACACTACCTAAGACTGAGTGATTTATAAATAAAAGAGGTTTAATTCATTCACAGTTCTGCAGGCTTGGGGAAGCCTCCGAAAACTTATAATCATGGTAACAGGCAAAGGAGAAGTTAAGTACCTTCTTCACAAGGCAGCAGGAAAGAGAGTGCAGAGGAAACTGCCACTTTTAAAACCATCAGATCTCATGAAAACTCCCTCACTATTATGAGAACAGCATGGGGGGAACCACCCCTATCCAATCACCTATCAACAGGTCCCTCTCTTGACACATGGGGATTATAATTTGAGATGAGATTTGGGTGGGGACACAGAGCCAAACCATGTCTCTTCCTCTTTACCGGTTTGCATGCCCCTTATTTCTTTTTCTTGACTGATTGCTCTGGCAGGGTGGGCTTTTAAGAGCCTCTTGAAATAATATTAGGACTAGAAATTGTGTGAAGTAATGTCTGAAACATTACTTCCCCAGAAAAAGTTTTCTTGTCAGCCCTTCTAACACCACCTGAAATGTCAGCTCTCTTCTTTTTTTTTTTTTTTGAGATGGAGCTCTGACTCTGTCGCCGAAAGCCTGGAGTGCAGTCCGGATCCCACCTCATGCCAAGCTCCGCGCTCCCGGTTAACGCCTACTCCTGCCCTCCAGCCCTCCGAGTAGCTGGGAACAGGCGCCCCGCCACCTCGCCCCGGCTAGTTTTGTATTTTTAGTAAGAGAACAGGGTTCACCGTGATTAGCCAGGATGGTCTCGATCCTCCGACCCTCGTGATCCACCTGTCTGGCATCCCCAAAAGTGGCTGGATTACAAGCTGAGCCACCGCACCGGCACTCTCTCTCTTATGCTTCTCCACCTGTGCTTCCACCTCTTTCTGGCCCTTAAGATAATAACATTTAGTGTTTTCTATCATATGTTAAAGTCAGCTTGCTAGTAATATTGTTTACATCTTTTCCTCCCTTTATCGACGCCTTCGGACCCTTTAAAATTTATTTTCTGGTTTGAGACATAATTTTAACAGTAATCACCCAATTTATACAATTAGAATTGACGAAAGTAGCACCATCCACAATCATAGAACTTTGGGAATAAAAGTTTGAGCCTATAATTCTAAATTCACATTTTGAAAAGCTCATAATGAAGCTACTATGCCACATTACCTGGGTTTTATCCAATTCCATTATTTAAAAATGTAATAAAACCATCACAAAATTGGGAGGTGGGCGAGACAGCAGATCACCGAAGGTTCAAGGAGATCAGACCCATCCTGCTAATAGGTGAACCCCCATCTCACGAAAATACAAAAAATTAGCGCGGTGTAAGGGGACGCCTGTAGTCGGCAGCTTTGGGAGGCTGAGGCAGGAGAATGGCATGACCGGGAGCGGAGCCTTGGCAGTGAGGCCTGAGACGCCACTGCACTCCAGCCTGGGCCAACACAGCCAGACCTGTCCTCAAAAAAAAAAACAAAAAACACAACACAACACAGAAAAAAAAAAAGAAAAAAAAAAAAAAAAAAAAAAAAAAAAAAAAAACAAAAAAAAAAAAAAAAAACACCACAATCACCATTAAAAAACACTCTTCTAAATGGCAAAAAAAAAAAAAAGAGAAAAAACACCGACCGTGGCGCCACACTTTTAAAAGTCCTTCTGGTTGAAAAAAAATTAAATTTCTGAACATGCTAAGTGACCAATTTGCAAGTTAAAAAGTGTAATTTTGGCTGGCCATGGTGGCTTATGTCTGTAATCCCAGCACTTTGGGAGGCCGAGGTGGGTGGATCATCTGAGGTCAGGAGTTTTAGACCATCCTGGCCGAGATGGTAAAACTCGTCTCTACTGAAAATACAAAAATTAGCCAGGCATGGTAGCACATGCCTGTAGTCCCAGCTACTCCTCAGGAGGCTGAGGTGAGAGAATCACTTTAACTTGTGAGGCTGAGGTTACAGTGTGCCAAGATGGCACCACTGCACTTCAGCCTGAGTGACAGAGTGAGACTGTCTCAAAAAAAAGTTTAATTTTATTCGGTATGAAATAAGAAATTAAGAATATGTTTAAGAATAGTTATTAAGAAAGGCAATAAAAAATTTAAAATCTCTATTAATTCATTTAGCTGTCTTTCTTTGTTCTCTAAAGAGGACTAAATGCTTGCAGAAAATTTAAAATTTGACAAGAATAGGTTTGATTTTAGGATACTTAGGGCTCTACCTGTGACTGCTGATGGGAATCAGGGTACTAATTTATTATTTTAGTCTTAGTCTTCTGGTTTGTTTCCTTTTCATGCTAATATGTTTAGAATCAAGGCATAGTTGAAGAATGGGAAGGTGAGCAGAGAAGAGAATGGAGAGGAGGTGGTAAGACTAGTTGGCACAAGCAACGCTTAAATCTCTTATTCTGCTTCTTAAATAGCGTAATTACATGGAAATGGTGCCCAGTAATGTAGAGCAACTTAGTTGTTTGAGTGCAAAATGAAATTATAACTATTAGGAAATTGTTGGGAAAAAAGAGATGTAATATGCCATAGGCATTATGTTTTGTGAATACATGCTATATTTCTGAATGCTGAATGCTTGTTTAATGTAAAATGAGGATTTCTAAATAGGAGGGAAGAGAAAAAAACATCTGCAAGTAGAATGCTGAATTGACTGGGGAGGTGGATAAAGTGAAACACAAGCCTGTTCCTGCCTTCCCAAAACCCTCTTCCTTGGGTCCTCCTGTGTTGCTCCATGGCTCCCTCTTTCTCTGTATCTCCTTTTCCTCTTCCCTCTCTGCACAGGCCTTCCATAGGTCTTCCTTATTCTTTTTCTCTCTCATTTTTGGACATTTCCCAAAGTTTTTTCTCCATCCTGTCCTTTTTCTCTCTTTAGATATGTTCTACTTTGGAGATCACATTCATTTCTGTGTCTAAGGAAATATCACCTCCATTATGGAAATAAAAATCTAACAATTACCAAGCTTTTTAGCACTGTGAAAATTTCTATGTAGGGTGGGATGGCTGACAAAATGGCCCCATGTTTCCCTCTGATTTTCTTTCCTCCTAGGAGTTCCCTCACCTTAATTACCACTGTTCTTCCCAATAGACCCAAGGGTGTACTGCTCCAACATTAGATTTTTGATCCAACTGTGTATGAAAATCCCTTTCCTTAAAAAAAAAAAAAAAAAAGAACTATAACAGACTGGGCACAATGACTCACATTTGTAATCCCAACACTTTCGGAGGCCAAGATGGGAGGATTGCTTGAGGTCAGGAGTTTGAGACCAGCCTGAACAACACAGTAAGATGCCACCTTGAAGAAGAAGAAGAAGAAGGAGAAGAAGAAGGAGGAAGTAGAAGAGGAAGAGGAGGAGAACGAGGAGGAGGAAAAAGAAGAACTAAGACAAACCAGTGACACAAAAACCTATGAGAGAAAAAAAGCCTTAATTCAGCCTGTTCTAATAGTCCCATAGCTGTTTTATAGGTTAAATAGAGGTTGTTCAGCCTCCAGTGCTAGATACAGGTAGACAGATCGTAAGGGATGTCTTGCTCAGTCCATATAGAGAAAGCTCCCTCCCTCATCTGAGGTTTATCAGTTGAGAGACACATTTCTTTTCTAATAGGCTGACAACTAAAATGGACAGATTCTTCAAGGGAGGCCACTACTCATTAGACAGAGACACTCATCTAATAGCCACTATTAATATAAAGTTGCTGGCCTAATAACAACTGTGATATCTGTTTAACAAAAATGTATACCCACTCAGCATTGTGAAGAACTTTTGTTAATGCATTTCTATATAGGTAATTTCCAGATATATATTTCTTTTCTTTATTTTCTTTTTTTTGAGATAGGGTCTTGTTCTTTCACCCCAGATGGAGTGGAGTGACATGATCTCAGCTCACTGCAACCTCTGCCTCCCTGGCTCAAGTGATCCTCCTATCTCAACCTCCTGAGTAGCTGGAATTACAGGCACATGCCACCCATACCTAGCTAATTTTTTTTTGTAGAGATGAGGTTTTGCCATGTTGCCCAGGCTGGTTTCTTAACTCCTGGACTCAAGCAATCTGCACGTCTCAGCCTCCCAAAGTGCTGGGATTACAGGCTTGAGCCACCGCTCCAATTCTACAGATTTATATTTCTAATTCAAGTTTGTATCTTCATTCTTTCTCTTGTTTATACATTCAGTCAATATTTCTTGAGCACATCCTATGTGTCAGGCATTACACTAGGGGCCAAACAAGACAAACATGACAGCTACCCTCATGGAATTTGCATTAACAGAGGTAGGCAGACATTAAAAAAATTGTGAGTTGGGATAGTCATTGCAGTAATTGAGCTCCATAGAGACAGCGCCTGGGCAAGTGAGAGCCAGATGAGCACTGAGCGACTCTGCCTTGCTGAGGAAAAATAACTAAACATGGGGAAAGGAGATCCTAAGAAGCTGAGAGGCAAAATGTCATGATATGCATTTTTTGTGCAAACTTGTCTGGAGGAGCATAAGATGAAACACCCAGATGCTTCAGTCAACTTCTCAATTTTTTTTTTTTTTTTTTTTTTTTTGAGATGGAGTCTGGCTCTATGGCCCAGGCTGGAGTGCAGTGGTGTGATCTTGGCTCACTGCAAGCTCCGCCTCCCGGGTTCATGCCATTCTCCTGCCTCAGCCTCCCGAGTAGCTGGGACTACAGGTGCCTGCCACCACGCCCGGCTAATTTTTTGTATTTTTAGTAGAGACGGGTTTTCACTGTGTTAGCCAGGATGGTCGCGATCTCCTGACCTTGTGATCCGCCCGCCTCGGCCTCCCAAAGTGCTGGGATTACAGGCATGAGCCATCGAGCCGGCCTCAGAGTTTTCTAAGAAGTGTCCAGAGAGGTAGAAGACCATGCCTGCTAAAGATAAAGGAAAATTTGAAGATACGGGGGCAAAGGCGGACAAGGCCCGTTATGAAAGAGAAATGAAAACCTATATCCCTCCTAAAGGGGAGACAAAAAAAGAAGTTCAAGGACTCCAATGCACCCAAGAGCTCTCCTTCGGCCTTTTTCTTGTTCTGCTTTGAGTATCGCCAGAAAATCAAAGGAGAACATCCTGGCCTGCCCATTGGTGATGTTGGAAGAAACTGGGAGAGATGTGGAATAACACTGCTGCAGATGACAAGCAGCCTTATGAAAAGAAGGCTGCGGTTCTGGGGTCGTGGCCTTGCTCCCGCTGTGCGGGAAAAGAATCCAGGCCCTTCCACGCGCGTGTGGGCGCGGGGGCCCCGAAATGCTCCTGGTTCCGCACTAGGTCTCTGGTGGGGCAGGAACCGGAGCCATGGGTGGGACCACCAGCACCCACTGGGTCACCTTCGAGGGGGACGAGAATGAGAACATCACCGTGGTGAAGGGCATCCGGCTTTCGGAAAATGTGATTGATGGAATGAAGGAATCCTCTCCATCTGGTTCGAAGCCTCAGCGGTATTCTGTTGCTTATGGTGCCTCAGTTTCTGATGAAGAATTGAAAAGAAGAGTAGCTGAGGAGCGGGCATTGGAGCAAGCTGAGAAAGAATCTGAAGATCAGAAACGACTAAAGCAAGCCAAAGAGCTGGACCGAGAGAGGGCTGCTGCCAATGAGCAGTTAACCAGAGCCATCCTTCAGGAGAGGATATCAAACGAGGAGGAAGGCGCTAAGGCAAAGCACCTGGCTAGGCAGCTGGAAGAGAAAGACCGAGTGCTAAAGAAGCAGGATGCATTCTACAAAGAACAGCTGGCTAGACTGGAGGAGAGGAGCTCAGAGTTCTACAAAGTCACCACTGAACAATATCAGAAAGCTGCTGAAGAGGTAGAAGCAAAGTTCAAGCGGTATGAGTCTCATCCAGTCTGTGCTGCTCTGCAGGCCAAAATTCTTCAGCGTTACTGTGAGAACATCCACCAGACCCTCAAATGCTCCTCTCTGGCCACCCAGTATATGCACTGTGTCAATCATGCCAAACAGAGCATGCTTGAGAAGGGAGGATAAAAACTTTCAGAACGAGCAAAACACCATCAACGTTAATTCCAGAGATGGAACATTTTTTTTTTCCTAGTAAGAAAATAACCCATTTGAAGAGAAGACCACTAATGAGAAGACCACTAAAGAGAGACACCAAGAATGGATTCAGCAGAGTCATTTCACATTTTGAACAGCAGCAATTTGAAGGGCCAAAGCCTTGATCAGGGATCAGTCATTAAAGAACACACTTCAGTATTAGTAAACCCTCTTATGATGATTAAAAGAGAAGGGCAGCCCTCTCCACCGTTTGGTACTTTCAATTCAACTTCCACTGAACATAAAATGTTTTTCTTCAGAGCAAGCCCCATCATTTGGTGAATCTCCACCCTAACAAAGTAGGATGGGGTGGGGGGCTAAATTAATTGGAGTGGGGTGAGGAGAGAGCCAGAAAACACAGATCTGGAGCAGCAGTGCTGGGTGGAATTGTCTAGGCTATGGCATGCTGGCTTTCTCTTTCTTTCTTTTCTCCTTTGATTATGTAAGAGCTGTTTCATTTTAACTTATTATGGTGATTACACAGGCAAGAAGACAAAACGGAGAGAAAATGTACCTCTTCTACTGGAATAATGTTTATGATTACAAGTGAGAGACTGTATTTTTATCAATATGAAGGCAACCTTGGCTGATATAACCTCTATACTGAATACTCACATCTTTACTTCACTCACTATCAATAATAAATATATTTTCTGACAAAAAAAAAAAAGAAAAGAAAAGAAGGCTGCGAAGCTGAAGGAAAAATACGAAAAGGATATTGCTGCATATCGAGCTAAAGGAAAGCCTGATGCAGCAAAAAAGGAGTTGTCAAGGCTGAAGACAGCAAGAAAAAGAAGGAAGAGGAGGAAGATGAAGAGGATGAAGAGGAGGAAGGTGAAGAAGATGAAGATGAGGAAGAAGAAGATGATGATGAATAAGTTGGTTCTAGCACGGTTTTTTTTTTCTTATCCATAAAGCATTTAATCCCCCGTACACAACTCACTCCTTTTAAAGCAAAAAAATTGAAATGTAAAGCATGTAAGATTTGTTTTTAAACTGTACAGTGTCTTTTCTTTTTGTATAGTTAACACACTACAGAGTGTGTTTTTAGATAGTCCTGTCCTGGTAGTATTTTCAATAACCACTAACCTTGCCTGGGACAGTATGGAGGTTGTAAATTGGCATGGATTTAAAGCAGATTCTTGTTGGTGCACAGCACAAATTAATTATATATGGGGATGGTAGTTTTTTCTTCTTCAGTTGTCTCTGATGCAGCTTATATGAAATAATTGTTCTGTTAACTGAATACCGCTCTGTAATTGCAAAGAAAAAAGTCGCAGGTGTTTTGTTGACATTTTGAATGCTTCTAAGGAAATACAAGAAAAAATATATAAGTTGATTAAGTGTCATAAAAGAAAACTGGGCCAGGCATGATGGCTCCCACCTGTAATTCCAGCATTTTGGGAGACTGAGGCAGGAGGATCACTTGACCCCAGCAGTTCAAGACCAGCCTAGGTGACATAGGGGCAACTCTGTCTCTACAAAAAAATAAAAATTTTAGCCAGGCATGGTGCTATGTGCCTGTAATCCCAGCCACCAGCCATTTGGGAGGCTGAGGTCGAAGGATAGTTCGAGCACAAAAGGTTGAGGCTGCAGTGAACTATAATCGTGCCACAGCACTTCAACTTGGGTGACAGAACAAGACCTTGTCTCTAAGAAAAAAAAAAGACTGTAGGATATTGATATTACAGGAGTCTATAAAAAGTTCTGGCTTAATTGGGTTTGAAGAAGTGACATTGAAGTGAAAGTTAGAGGATGAAAAACTAGCCAGGAACATTCAGGTGAGTGTGACAGAATGAAAAAAAGGAGCAGGGAGGAAATACTAAGCAGAGGACACAGCATTTGCAAGGAATGTTAGATAACAGGAGAGACTGACTGGAGATGAACTTATCAAGGAGGTCAGGTATTGAGTCCCATCATTCCCATCCCCAACGTCTTGCCTGTAAGAAGTTTGATTGCAGGTCTATTTGCACAGAAGGCTATTGGCAGGCCTTCCAAAATGAGCTGAGCAACTTTACCTTGATCCTGGATCTGACCCTCAGCTGTACCAACTGGGAAACTGGGTTTTGGGAGCACACAAAATGTAATACCAGAATGAGCCTGGTATTGCTGTTAGAGTCACTTTAACTATAAGATGGGCATGGTTTAAGATGTGGTGAAAGAGAACAGGAGGGAGACTAAGCTAATGGGATTAGAAAAACAGAAATAATCACAGCTAGGAGAACGTGAAAAATGTGGTTTCCTGGAAGCCAAATTCCTGCCGAGATCACAGTCTAGCTCATGGAATTTCCTACTGATCGGAATGCCTTCTGCTTTTCTCTGGCTGAAACATTAGTGCCCCAAGTTTTACTGTCAAAGACAGGATAATGACAAAAATATTTATTGATTAAACACAGAAAGCACTGACAGTCTTTCCAGATGAAGCCAATAGCATATACTATAATTCTTATCTTTTTATGCTTTATTACATTCATGTATTGAGTCTATGTATCTGTCACTTTACTTCTACTATTTCAATTAATCTTCAGAACAATTCTATATAGTTGGTATTAGTGTTCCATTATTGGAACGCTAAGCTTGTGGGAGTTTTTATATCCTGCTGCTCAAGGTCATCACCGAGGTCTGATTTTTCACACAAAAAAATTTGCAACCTCCAGCATAAATGGGTTAATATCCCTCCCTCTTTCCTCCATTGGTGAAAAAATTGAGAATCAGAGAGTTTCAGTGATTGGTCAGAGATTACACAGTTAGAAAGTGAGAGTCAGAATTCAGATTTGGTTATGTCTAACTCCAAAACCTATGTTGTAGTCACTCCAACCCACTGCCTCTAACAGTATAGAGGCATAGTATTCCTAGAAATATATTTTTAGAAGTTTTCACATGTTAAGCTTAGAATTGGAAGCAGTGACGTTTTCAATAAATTAATCTCTAACAGTCCAGTTAAGGGCAAGGAATTTAAAAATGGCATTTTATGTTGAAAATATCCTGAAAAGTTTTCCCTAATCTATGGTTCTATGACATTATTTCAGTTGTTTCAATTTTTAGTAAAAGAGAGAACATGGTCAATAAAAATGCTCTTTACTACATGTAAGGACCACATTTAGTGATGCTGTTACAGTATCACTTGTGCAAATCAGTAGGACTTGAAGATCATATTTTCCTCCTATTTTAGGGATAAAGTCATAATGATTTTTGGAGGCTATGCATTAGTTTAGAGATGCTAAGACACAATCATGCTTTATAAAAGTTAATTCTGTGAAAAAATCTTAATGACATGATCAGAGCCATTTCTGTAATACTTATCTCACACCGTATTTAATTATTCATAGCTTCTGTTGTACTTTACTAATGTATGTTTAAATATTTCTTATAAAAAAAAATATTTCTTATACACTAACTTTCAGTCAGTGACAAGTTAAAAAACCACACAAATATTTCTTGCACAATGCAATGTGAGATTATTAAATTCTATTTACTTTGCTAATAGCTAATCTAGTCATAAGTATGAAATTAATCAGTCAGAATAGTAAAGGAGCAAAATACACTGGAAAAAATAAAATCTATTATACTTAAATAAGTACATGTCATTGGTTGTTTATAACTTACTTCCTTTATAAACCTATTAATTACTAAAATGCATTCTTACAATAACATGGCAAATATGATTATAAATTTAATTGTTTTTATGGGTAAATAAAAAAACTATTATAATTAGTACAAGTTAACTGACCAACCCAAGAATGGTAAATAGTTACTTCAGCATGTTTATATTCCTACTTTTTACAGATACGCATAAACACCGTAGAGAAAATGTATTTCACACATGTGAAACATAATAATTCCTGTGGCTGCTACATTTTCGTATTGATAGTAATACAGATTTCCTTCCTACCTAGTTCTTGAATTTAAAAAAATGTTTAAATAAAGAACTCCTGTGCCAGTTCTGGTGTGAACTAAAAATCAATTTTTGTAAATCAGCTTTTGTATCAGAAAGCCAGTCCTACTTTGTCCCTTCCAGGAGACAGTTACATAGTTTATGTCAAGGGTTTAAAATAAGAAAACCCAAAGCTGCTTCTTTTCTGAACCTTTACTATCATTTAAAGTAAATTTATCTCCTGAAATCATATGATGTAGAGATGGACAGCAAGAATTTTGGAGGCTTCCTGGCCAAGTTTGAAATCCAGGCCTACCACTTACTGACTCTGGGATCTGTGACAGGTTACATAATTCCCCTGTATCTCATGTTTTTTCATGGTGATGATAGTAGCAATACATATCTCATAGAGTTACTCTGAGAATAAAGTAAATACTAACACCAAGGATACAGAAGACATAGTCATTATTTTACTTAATGGCCACTATATTAAAGTATAGTACACATGCAGAAAGATACTCAGAAGTGTTCAGCTTACTGAAATTTCATAAGATAAGCTAAACAATCCTGTATAGCAAGCATGCAAATTACAAAAAAGAAACTAGTTACACTCAAAGCCCTCCTCATGCCCCCTTCTAGCCACTACTCCTAAGGGTAACTAATATTTTGACTTCACATTAGTTTCATTAATGGCTATTTTTTAAACCTTGATATTATAACAATTGATAAGATATTTATTGTAGTAGCATTTTGTTTTTTATTTAATATCAATGCTTAAATCTGTTTGCTGATTACTCTTTTAACATATAGGCATATTTTATTTTCTAGGTTAAAAAAGCTCCTTGAACAAGAAAAGGCTTATCAAGCCCGCAAAGAAAAGGAAAATACTAAACGGCTCAATAAACTAAGAGATGAACTTGTCAAACTCAAGTCCTTTGCACTCATGCTGGTGGATGAAAGACAAATGCACATTGAACAACTTGGCCTGCAAAGTCAGAAAGTACAGGATCTTACTCAGAAGCTGAGGGAAGAAGAAGAAAAGCTCAAAGCCATTACTTCCAAATCCAAAGAAGACAGACAGAAATTGCTCAAGTTAGAAGTAGACTTTGAACACAAGGCTTCAAGGTTTTCTCAAGAGCATGAAGAGATGAATGCTAAACTGGCTAATCAAGAGTCTCACAATAGGCAACTTAGACTCAAACTGGTTGGCTTAACCCAAAGAATCGAGGAGCTAGAAGAGACCAACAAAAATCTGCAGAAGGCAGAGGAAGAACTTCAGGAATTAAGAGATAAAATTGCCAAAGGAGAATGTGGAAATTCTAGCCTCATGGCAGAAGTGGAAAATCTTCGAAAGCGTGTGCTTGAAATGGAAGGTAAAGATGAGGAGATCACTAAAACTGAATCCCAGTGTAGGGAACTGAGGAAGAAGTTGCAAGAGGAAGAACACCATAGTAAGGAGCTCAAACTTGAAGTTGAGAAGCTACAGAAGAGAATGTCTGAACTGGAGAAATTGGAAGAGGCATTCAGCAAGAGTAAATCTGAGTGCACCCAGCTACATTTAAATCTGGAGAAAGAAAAGAACTTAACCAAAGACCTGCTAAATGAATTGGAGGTGGTCAAGAGTCGAGTTAAAGAATTGGAATGTTCTGAAAGTAGATTGGAAAAGGCTGAATTAAGCCTAAAAGATGATCTTACGAAGTTGAAGTCATTTACCGTGATGCTGGTTGATGAAAGGAAAAATATGATGGAAAAAATAAAGCAAGAAGAGAGAAAAGTGGATGGACTCAATAAAAATTTTAAGGTGGAACAAGGAAAAGTTATGGATGTAACTGAAAAACTAATTGAAGAAAGTAAGAAGCTTTTAAAACTAAAATCTGAAATGGAGGAAAAAGTATACAACTTGACAAGAGAAAGAGATGAGTTGATAGGCAAATTGAAAAGTGAAGAAGAAAAATCCTCTGAATTAAGCTGCAGTGTTGACTTACTAAAGAAGAGACTTGATGGTATAGAGGAAGTGGAAAGAGAAATAACAAGAGGAAGGTCACGAAAAGCGTCTGAGCTCACCTGCCCGGATGATAATAAGATTAAGGAACTAACACTTGAAATTGAGAGACTGAAGAAACGTCTCCAACAATTGGAAGTGGTCGAAGGGGATTTGATGAAGACAGAAGATGAGTATGATCAGCTGGAACAGAAATTTAGAACTGAGCAGGATAAGGCGAACTTCCTCTCTCAACAACTAGAGGAGATCAAGCACCAAATTGCCACGAATAAAGCAATCGAGAAGGGTGAGGTTGTGAGCCAGGAAGCTGAACTGAGACACAGATTTCGGTTGGAAGAAGCTAAAAGTCGAGACTTAAAAGCTGAAGTACAAGCTCTTAAAGAGAAGATTCACGAATTAATGAACAAAGAAGATCAGCTTTCTCAGCTCCAGGTAGATTATTCTGTACTTCAACAAAGATTTATGGAAGAAGAAAATAAGAACAAAAACATGGGGCAGGAGGTCCTCAATCTGACTAAAGAGTTGGAGCTTTCCAAGCGCTACAGCAGAGCTCTTAGGCCCAGTGTGAATGGAAGAAGAATGGTGGATGTTCCTGTGACATCAACTGGAGTCCAGACTGATGCAGTCAGCAGTGAAGCAACAGAGGAAGAAACACCAGCTGTATTCATACGGAAATCCTTCCAGGAAGAAAATCATATTATGAGTAATCTTCGGCAGGTGGGATTGAAGAAACCCATGGAAAGATCCTCTGTTCTAGACAGGTATCCTCCAGCAGCAAATGAGCTCACTATGAGAAAGTCTTGGATTCCATGGATGAGAAAGAGGGAAAATGGCCCCTCAATCACTCAGGAGAAAGGGCCCCGAACAAATTCCAATCCAGGGCACCCAGGAGAGGTAGTCCTTTCACCAAAGCAGGGCCAGCCCCTGCATATTCGAGTGACACCAGACCACGAGAACAGTACTGCGACTTTGGAGATAACAAGCCCAACATCTGAAGAATTTTTTTCTAGTACCACTGTCATTCCTACCTTAGGGAATCAGAAACCAAGAATAACCATTATTCCATCACCAAATGTTATGCCTCAAAAACAAAAAAGTGGAGATACAACTCTTGGCCCAGAACGAGCCATGTCCCCAGTCACAATTACTACATTTTCCAGAGAGAAGACTCCAGAAAGTGGAAGAGGTGCATTTGCAGACAGGCCCACATCCCCTATTCAGATAATGACAGTGTCTACATCAGCAGCACCAGCTGAGATTGCAGTTTCTCCCGAATCCCAGGAAATGCCCGTGGGACGGACAATCCTCAAAGTCACCCCAGAAAAACAGACTGTTCCAACTCCAGTACGGAAATACAACTCCAATGCCAATATCATAACCACAGAGGACAATAAAATTCACATTCACTTAGGGTCTCAGTTTAAACGGTCCCCTGGGACTTCAGGTGAAGGAGTCAGTCCAGTTATTACTGTCCGACCAGTAAACGTGACAGCCGAAAAGGAGGTTTCCACCGGCACTGTCCTTCGCTCTCCCAGGAACCACCTCTCCTCACGGCCTGGTGCGAGCAAGGTGACGAGCACTATCACCATAACACCAGTCACAACGTCATCTGCTCGAGGAACCCAGTCAGTGGTGAGTAGAAGAGGTTCCAAAGGGCAGGTCCGTGGAGGGAGGGAGATGTGAGTAGTGAGACTACCCCAGCACCCGCAGTAAAACCTAGCCACATGCTTCTCATGCTGCCTGAATCCAGATGCTTCACAGAGGACTATCCACACAGAACTGAATGTAAAAAGTGACCTAATAGTTTAATAAATTAGGCCAACTTTGAGGGAAAACTTCGCCTATTCATGTAAATTATGGACAGTGCCATAAAACACTTGCAAAGGTAGCCTCTTTGAAATGGTAGCATATAGTAATCAGAAGGTTTAACATTTGATTTTAATGTTTAAGATAGTTTTTAAAATGGAGATGGGGAAAATGGTCTATATGGAAGAAGAATTAAAATTGTTCCTAGGTTATGTTTCTATAAATTAAAGTATTCAATATGTGGTTATATTTGGCCATAGGCATATTTTATTCCAAAATAAGATGAGAAGATTTTAATATCAAAAAGTTTTTTAAAAGTAAAAGAGAAGTGCGTTTACATGTATAAAAACTGTATTTTATTTAATCGTATCTTGCAGAGAGCAGGTGCTTCATAAATATTTATTTAATAAATAGCTGGGGTTGGGTGCAGTGGCTCATGCCAGTAATCCCAGCACTTTGGGAGGCTGAGGCAGGTGGATTGGCCAATATGGTGAAACCCCATCTGTACTAAAAATACAAAAATTAGCCCAGCGTGGTGGCGGATACCTGTAATCCCAGCTACTCGGGAGGCTGAGGCAGGAGAATCGCTTGAGCCTGGGAGGCGGAGGTTGTGGTGAGCCGAGATTGCACCATTGCACTGCAGCCTGGGTGACAGAGCAAGACTCCATCACAAACAAACAAACAAAACTAGCTGGAAGGCTAAATGAATGATTATTGAAAAGCATGTGCAAAGCACAAAAGCCGGAACTTAAAAATAAATTCTACCAGCCTGGCCAACAGGGCAAAACATCTTCTCTACTAAAAATACAAAGGAAAAAAAAAAAAAAAAAAGTAGCTGGGCGTGGTGGCACACATCTGTAATCCCAGCTACTCTGGAGGCTGAGGCACAAGAATCACTTGAACCCAGGAGATGGAGGTTGCAGTGAGCCAGGATCATGCCACTGCACTGCAGCCTGGGTGACAGAGTGAGACCCTGTCTCAAAAAAGTAAATAAATAAATAAATTATAAATTATATTTTTCAAAATACTTCCAGTGATTGTCTTCATTTATTGGTGGCAACCTGGCACATGTAATTATAGAAGAGCTTGTACTGTTTAGATGTTAACTTAAGCTAATAAACTAGAAATCATGATTTCTAGACTCTGAACAAGTTCTACAGCATAAATTGAAATCTCCTAAGAAAGACAGGAAGCTCATAATTTAAACAGAAACTGTGGCTTATTTTCCTTTAATACTTCAATTAAAGTATGATTTACTTTAATTTTCTATGCACAAACATAGACTCAAGGCAGGCTCCAAAGTGTGAATTACTAATTGCTTTGCCAGTAAAGCTTTTACTGGTTGGCTCCTCATCAGCCAAATAGGATTCAGAATTATTCACTGTCCTCAGGTGATCCAATACTGCTTTTTAGGTAACGTGGAGCACAGCTTGGTTGTGTAGGGTCTTGCTTCTTTCTGCTGCATTTTATAAAAAGATATTTGAGGTATAAATCATTGTAACGTAGAGCACATTTTCTGCCATAACATTTTCTTACCATTTTTAAGGGTCAGATCAAGGTAGCCCTACCCTCTGTATCGACATTTTTGACTACTGATTAAACCTCACACATGAGTGGCATTTCAAAGCAACTGTCTAAGATTTCTAAGTTCTCAATGGTCCACCTATTTTAAGTATATCAGATCTCATAAAATCAAGGACAACAAAAGGTTTGGAATACTCTTCTTAGAATTTGAACAGTGAGAGTAGTTCATTTGTACATTTATTCAGTCAACATTTGTTGAGTGTCAACTATACTTTAGGCATAGGCTAGGTGCTGGGATGCCAGGAAGATGGTAGAAGTTCTTGACTTAGTGGAATAGACAGGTTTGGAACCTACTTGGTGGTTCTATGATAGAGATATGTACACAGGAGTCAACGGAGAAGGCTTCACAGAAGTGGAGGTTTCACAGTTAAAGAGGGATTTTCAAGAAGGAAAAGGGAAGGAGTATGTAGACAGAGGCACGACAGTGGGAAGGAGCCTGGCATGCTTGGGGAATTGTGAGCATCCCATTGTGCTGCTACCAGTTGTACATGGGGCAAAAAATGGAAGGGCAGAAAATAGGGAAGCAAACTGGGGTTGGATATTGAAGGGAGGCATATACATGTCTTATTATGAAATTGATATTAGGGAACCACTGAAAGGGTAATGATCATGACAAAAACATATTGTTTGTGTTTTAGAAAGATGTGTGTGGAAAACAGTTTAAAGGATAACTTGGAGGGTCAGGGATGCTGTTGCAATTCTTTATCTTAATGATGGAGCAGGCTTGAACTAAAATAGTGAAAATGAGGACAGAGATATAGTGAAGATGATCAAAACTATTTCATGACAAATTGAGTAGAGAGTGTGGCTCTTGGGTTTATGATTTGGCTGTCTGGGAGAATAAGATGAGAAACTTTAGAGGGACTAGCTGTTTAGGAGAGAGGATAAGTAATGTTTGGGGCATGTTATATTTGAGATGTCTGGGGAACATCAGAAATGTCCAGTGAGTAGCTGGGAATAAGGATCTGCATTTCTAGAGGGCATCGAAGCCTAAGGGTCCCAGGGTTTGAACACATGAGGTAATAACTAAGGCAATTCTCAGGGTGAATGTTAAACATTAAAAGGAGGCTGAGAATGGAACATGGTGACACATTTAGAAGGCAGGCAAAGTAGAGAACAAGGAGCCAGCAAGAGATTGAAAAGGAGTCATCAGATATGAGAGGTGAATTGATGAGACTGTCCTAAGAAATCACAGCACTTTAAAAAGGAGGATGTGGTCAGCAGTGACAATAACATGTGAAGATTTTGAGGTCTTTAGGAGGTGAAAAGAGAGTAGCTTCATCTGAAATGGAAGAAAGGAGGGAGTGTAGAGGTAATTTAGGGAGCAGTAGGAGTAAAGTTGCCTGAGTTTTTGCCTGGTGGTCTATATTTCCTCTGTGAAACTGGAGTTAACGCCATCTTCAGTAAGGGCAGAGGAGGTGAGTTAGTGCTTCAGAAGAGAAGGAAGTTTCAAGCAAAGTTGTTTTAAGAGAAGGGAAGGGGAGATAATCAGAGTGGATTAGATATCAACTCCAAGTTTCTCACAATTATTTTATCTGGGGAAGGGTCATCTGTGGGTGTTCCTGTGTGGCAAGAGTCCCACTAATGTTCAGATTGATGGCATATCCAGAGGAAACTCACCAACATCTCCCTTGTATCTACGTATTTTCTCTCTTACAGTCAGGACAAGACGGGTCATCCCAGCGGCCTACACCCACCCGCATTCCTATGTCAAAAGGTATGAAAGCAGGAAAGCCAGTAGTGGCAGCCCCAGGAGCAGGAAATCTGACCAAATTCGAGCCTCGAGCTGAGACTCAGTCTATGAAAATAGAGCTGAAGAAATCTGCAGCCAGCAGCACCACCTCTCTCGGAGGGGGGAAGGGCTGAGGGCAGTGGCTAAGGGGGTATGTTGTGCAGATGCTACTGCTGCCGTGAAGGTGAACCTTCATCTGTTTGTGCCAGTTCTTTACATGTACTAATTTAAGTTTTAAATATTGTGTTTATAAAATAACCAACTAATAACCATGTGTCTTTCCTATTTTGTGCATTTGCTTTGATGCTGGGGAACAAAATTAGCAAAACTATTGCTTGCTGCCTAGAAGCCAGGGCTAGTTCCTGCGGTTTCTAGTTCCAGTTTTGCTTCTAGCAAGTGGACCCATCAGTACACCCCTCTGAGCCTGTTTCCTCATCAGTTAGATGTGGGGACTCAGCCACATGCTCTTCAAGGCTGGCTCCCATATTTCCTAATTGCAAGCCAAATTTAATGTACCTTGTCCCACAATAATTTTTTATTTAAAAAAATTCTATTATGAAATAAGACATACTTTAACAATTGTCATTTGCCTCTTTCACATCATGAATTTGCTTTATGTGCTGGAAAAAAACATCACATAGCTATCACAGGGCCTGGACCTCTAAAATTTTGCAAAAACAAAAGGTTCTAAGATGATTTCAGGAAATAATATGAATGTGTAATAAAATGGAAATGAAATATGGAATCCTAAGAACAGAGTTTTACTTATTTGTGTGTGTCTGTGTGTACTGTAGAAGTTTTAGCCCCTCCATAAGATTCCCACAATTTCTTAGGCAATAATTTTAAAATCATTAATGTCAGACTCGTGCTCTATTCAAGTGTGCAATTGATTTAAATTGTGGAATAGTTTGAAAAGAGCTGCCAAATGGCCTTTTATAGCTCAAAAGTGATTGTGATGGATAGAAACTAGCAGAAAGTAAATTCTGATACATTAATGCCAAGGGAAAAAATGACATCATACATATCTTAATTGAATTCAAATATTTTTCTCAATTAAGTATAGATTTGCAAGTGTAAAACCAGTTCATGATTTGGGTGTGTATGTGCGTGTGTGTGGTGTGGAGAAGTGGATTATTTCTCTCAGTTTTACTCTTGTTTGAATCAGTTTCTTTCATTTTTAGGCATGTTTTAATAAGCATGAAGCAGAGTGTGAATGCAAAATGCCAGGTGTATTTGTAGATTAACCATGTTAAGGTGGGCTTTGTGCTTCATAGCCACATAACCACAAATGAGTTCAAGGCTAGTAACCTACAGCTTAGCACACAAGATCTCATGCAGGCTGCACCTTTGCTGACAGTTTTGAGCCAACTGAGTGAACTTTACAAAAATAAAATAGCAAAATGTCACAGATTTTTAGTTTTCCATTTTTGTATGTGAGTGTTCCAAAATTATATGGATAGCACCTGTTCTTGATATTTGGGAAAAAGCGTAATTCTTTATAAAAAAAGATGTATGATTAGATTTTTATCTCATGATTCAACATGTGTCATGATAATGAAGCTCTTCTCTGAGTTCCTTTCCACACCAGATTTTCTATCGCTTGCAGAACTTGGGCTTGAATTGTGTATAGTGGTGGTAGATGTAGATGCCTCATAGTATTCACATTCACTTTAATCAGATCGCTGTTGCCTACTGCTCATCAGTTCTCAACATTGTATTACAAAATGTTGAGTAGCCAGGCATGGTGGTTCACACCTGTAATCCCAGCACTTTGGGAGGCTGAGGTGGGTGGATCACTTGAGGCCAGGAGTTCGAGACCAGCCTGGCCAACATGGCAAAACCCCATCTCTACTAAAAATACAAAAATTAGCCAAGTGTGGTGGTGGGCGCCTGTAATCCCAGCTACTCAGGAGGCTGAGGCAGGAGAATTACTTGATCCTGGGAGGCAGAGGTTGCAGGGAGCCAAGATGATGCCACTGCACTCCAGCCTGGGCGACAGAGCGAGACTCTGTCTCAAAAAATAAAATAGGAAAAAAAAGAAAATTGAGGAGCCATGTTAAAGACCTGCCATAGTAATGGGATTTCAAGGTCAAAGGAGAGAGAGAGAGAGACTGAGAAAGAACGCTTTATGATTTTGGATAAATTTGAACAAGAGAGATTGCCATTTGGAATACTGACAACATTTTTTTTAAAGATTTTTCCTCTTTCATAAAGTGAACATTCAACCCTTTCAAAAATGAAGACATTCACTGTTTTTACTAATGTGTACCTGACATTTGTGAAGTATTTAGTGTTACTGTACCATAACATATTGTATTTGAGCAAATAAGGGTGTCAGAAGAACAAAACACCACATTCCTTTTGACTCCACCTGCCATTCTTCAGTGACTTTTATCATAATCTTATTGCCACTTGCTGCTGTTTTTGCTTTTACCTTCTCACATCATGCTTATGGTGTTTCTTCCAGGAAGTCCATACCATCTACAGGAGAGTGCTCTGAAGGCTTAACAGTGCGTGTACAGGATGTTTATACATCTAGATATTGGAATAGAGCCACCCACAAAGTACAACTGCTAAAAAAACTTGGCAGAACAACACAGATTTGCTTTTCAGAAATGATAAAGAACAACCACCATGACAGTTTTTCTTTGTAATTTTAGAGCCCACTCTATATTTATTGGATAGCTTTGCTTTAAGCCACACATTAGAAATAAAATCCACTGGGGATAGGAGGTGGAGGACTAAATGTATTACAAATCCAACTTCCATTTGTGAAGACAGTACTTTTAAGATGCAATTTAATGTGCTTTTGTAGGGGTGAATGGGATTAAAAGTTTGCAATATTTTCTCTGTCCTGAAACGTACCACATAGTAAAGTAAAAGGGGTCTCACTGTGGCTGATGTGTACAGCTGTTGCTCAGGCCCCACCCTGAAATCTTGGGATGGTGGGTGACTTGGGGGTGGGAAGGGTGGGTCATTTCCACAGACTTCAGTGCATTGGTACCCTCTAGGGATGTGCAGGACACCACCTACACAGCTACAGAGGAGACTCTGGTCTTCACTGCCTGAGAATAATTGTAATGTGCTGACTATTTCAGCACACTATGGTGGTGTCCACCTTACATGCACGATTCCAGAAATGTTTCGATATGGGACATAGCCCCAAGAGTGTTTATTATTTTTTTTGCATGTGAGCTATATATCTAGGTCATCTGCTTAAGTTATTCAGTTTCTACTGGTGTTTCAATTGTATTTCCAGTGAGGACTGGTTGATGGGCGGCAATCGTGCTCTCTCTAGAGATTTTAGGGTATTCATTAAGGGTGTACCCAGAGCTCTTACTCAAATGTCTTCAAGAAAGAAGTGAAAAACAGCTTTCATGTGTAGTGTGGGACGAGTATAATTTCGGAGACATGAAAACAAGTTTAAGAATATGAAATGTAAAAATATTTAAATTTCTCATTCCTCAGATTCAGAATACTGGGGAAAGGGTGAGACTTTCCTCGTTGGGAAAAACACAGGGTTATAGATATGAAGAGCACATTTATACTGAGGCTGGAGGCAGAGAGAGAGAATGAGTAATGAAGAGATGGGCATACAGAGGATTTCCCAAGAAATAGGAAGATATGATTCCAAAATTTCCCCAACCTAGATAATGTTTCCTTTCTCTCTCCTTTAGGGTCTCATCGTTGGTTATTTCTTTGTTCTCTGGTCTTTCCACTTCTCGTTTTCACTTGCTATCCTCTGACCTCTCTCATTTTAGCAAAATTCCTCCTTCATCTATGCAGTCCTCTATAGCTACTGCCCAGTCTCCTTCCATGCCCAGGTGAGCTATTGAGAGAACACTCAACATTTCCTGCCTCCAGTCTCGCACTTCCCATTTATCATTAATCACTTTTTATCTTTAATAAAAAAATTCATATACATAGTTCAAATATAAGCCAGAGCTAAAAGACAATGAAAACATATGTTCCTTACCATTTCCCTGAGGCCTCAGTTTTGTCCCCCGGAGAAAATCACTTCCAATTCTTAGCTGTTTCTTCTGGCATTTATCTCCATATTTCTAACTAAGGTGCTTATACTGTTACTTTTTATTTCTAGATTTTAGATCTCTTTTGTCTTCACATTATTGTTTTGATGGTTGAAGGTTTAACCTTCTCACTTATCCCTTCTATTTCCTTTTTCTCATTTTCCCAATATGATTACATCCTCAACTTTTTGATAAATCAGTAGCCAACATTTATATATTTATGTGTTTTGCAGTGCAAATTTAAATTTAAATATAGCACGGTAGCTCACGCCTGTAATCCCAGCACTCTGGGAGGCTGAGGCAGCTGAATAACTTGAGCTCAGGAGTTTTGGACCAGCCTGGATGACATGGCAAAACTTAGACTGCAGCCTCAAAAATACAAAAAGTTAGCCAGGCATGTTGGTGCGTCCCTTTAATCTCAGCTACTCGGGAAGCCGAGGTGGGAGGATTGCTTGAGCTTGAGAGGCAGAGGTTGCAGTGAGAGATAGTGCCACTGCACTCCAACTTGGGTGACAAAGTAAGATCCTGTCTCAAAATAAATAAATAAAAATAAATATTACTATCTGCTGAGCCAAGTAGTATACTATGATTTTGCTCTCTTCCTCTTACCACCTTTCCCCCTTCAAAAGAATAATTGTTTTAATTTTTCATCTGCTTGGTTTTCCATGTATGTATATATATATGTTTTCAAATGCTCATTAGACTTGCCGAACACCTATCAGTAATTTTTCCAAACACTTAAAACACAGCAATTTCATATTTTTCCCTGGAAGCCTTCCTATTCAGCCTTCTGCTTCCATATTCAGTCTGGACTGGTTGTTTTCTAGGCCTGCTGCACAGTTGTTGCCCTTTTGCCTATGTTGAGTTATCTGTTTCCCTGATTGCTTATATTCAACTTCTTTTATCTATTGATCTATCGATCTGCCTATCATCTGTCTAATCTATCATCTATCTAATATATCTCTCTATCTATCTATCAGTCATCTATCTATCCTCTCTCTCTCTCATTCTCTCGCTTTCTCTCTCTTCCTCTTTACATCTTCTAATAGTTTTTAAAGGGAAAAGTCCTCCAGTAACCTTTCTGGGGCAGACTATCTGAATTCTGGGAACAGGTTAGGGGAGGTAAGATGAGAATCTCACAGCTCAAGGTATAAACTTTTTACTCCCCTGCAATCAGTCTGCTGCCCATTCTTGTGTCTGGGTCCAGAACTTCTTAGGTCAGTTTTTCCAGAAAACAAACCTCTGGTCTCTAGTAAGGGCAAGGCAGAGTTAGGCTGTGCTTTTTTCCCTCAATGACCAAGATATCTAATTTGCTTTGCTGCTTTTTTCACCTCTTTGCTCTGCTTCAGTTTCCCTTGTTGGCTCCTTATTTTATATATACACAATAAGGATTGATGTTTCCCATATCTCTATCAAAAGCCATGTTCTTGCTCTACAAGCTGGCTCTGGTTATTTCATCTACACCCAGATGCTGATGACTCCCAAACTTCTATCACCAACTGTGTATCCATCTTTATAGTGTGTATTTCCAAATCAGCTTGTCCAAAAACCATTTTCAATACTGCCCCGTCTTCCTCCAAATCTTCTCCTTCTCTTATTATTCTCCATCTCAACAGGGATATCCTGACCCATTCCGTCTCTCAAGCTAGAAACCTGGTAGCCATCTATGCTTCTCCTTCTCCTTCTGCCCTCATTCAGCAAGTCCTGCTTATTCACTAACATCTCTAGCAGCTGATTCCTCCTCTCCATTTCCCCTACTATGGCCTAAATTGAGGGTTTTAACTACTTTTCATCTGGGTTACTCTGATACCCTCCTAATTGGTCTTGTAATCTCCAGTCTCAAAACTCTAGGATTCATTTTTCATTCTTGCAGTTTTCCAAAGTGCAAGTTGATCATATCATATCATATCAAATCATATCATATCATAATCATCTCTATTTGAAAACCCCCCAAAAGTTCCTCATTACTCACAGAATACAATGCTATGTACTTGAGGCACTCTGTGACTGGGCTCTACTTCTCCATTCTTCTGAGCACCTTTCCCTTCCCTTGGCAGGACCCCCACACTCCAGGCTTAAATAATTGCTTGACTGTCAGGCCATGCCACCCTTCCTTGACTTGCTCAATTTGTTCCTTCTCCCTGAATTGCCCTTTCTCCTATTTTTCTTTTGGCAGATGTGTCCTCTGTTCAAAGACTATTTTATGAACATTACCTCTTCTAGGAAGATAAACAATTATTTCAGAATCTATCCTGGGGTTTAAAGGCCTGTCCACTGCTGTAGAAAGCTTGGCACTCACTGTAGATAAACAAAACTAGCAGCTGAAAAATGGCAGAAAGTTGGGCAAGCAAGAGCTATTTCTGATTCCTCTCTTTGCAACACAAACCAGTAGGAATGACATGGAAGCAGCTAACAAGTCCTGTGTGAGAACATGCAGGTAATGAGGTGGCAGAATTACAGGAAGTCCAGGTACTGTCATTTCTGGGTGGTGAAAGTTACTTCTATTTCCCTCCAAAGGCACAACAGCAGGTGATGGATGCAAAACAGCCAGGAGTCCTGGACTGGGGAGTTCTCACCTCAGAAGCCACCATGCCTGCGAAGAAAGGGGCCTGAGAGCTTTCTGTGAAGTATAAACACACAGTACATGCATGAGTTACAAATGGCCCTTTCCTCACCCTTTCCGACTCCCCCAGCTGAACACAAAGGCACTTCAAGAATGAGGTTTCAGGGGTTTGTCTCATGCTCTTCAAGTTCATGAAGGACCCTCAAAATAGGATTAGAGGCTCTCATTTTAAAGGACCAACCACCACCAAAAAGCAGGATTTAGATTTAGGATAGATATTAGGGTGAATATCCAGAGAAGAAGGGCTGCTGAAAAATGGACTCGATACCTGAGAGAACTGAAAACCATGAGACTGGAGCCATACTCTTTTCTACCACCAAAAGGTTGTGTAACCTTTGGCATATCACCCTACCTTGGCCTATGATTTAGCATGGAGCTATAATTTTTTATGATTCTGGCATTCTCCCTTAGAGTCGTAATATAATATGCTTCACTATTGTTTAGCAAGCACCTTACAAGATCCTGCTACAATGCTTTTCCTAAGATCTAATGATTAATTACTTATCTGGTAAAAGTACTTTTGGCCTCTCTACTTCTGCTAATGCTACATATATGCAAAATCACAGAACTGGTTAGAACTGAAGTAGACCTTAGAGATCAAGAGGATAATTATCTATTACTAAAGAAGGCAAACAGCAACAAACCCTTTTAAAAAAAGCCCTGAGGCATACAGATGTCTAACCATCTTATTAATGATAAGACCAGGACCAAAAAATCAGTTCTTCAGTTTCTCCTAGTACGTTATTCATTATTTCATATGATGAAACTACTTCAAGTGAGTAAAGTGTACATGCATACATAGATTGAAACACTCATACTCGCTGGGTCAAAATAATACTGCTAAATGATTTTGAGCTACTAAGATATTTATATAGAAACTATGTGAAAAAGTTCTCGTAATAATATTTTGAATATTGTTGTCCTCATTTAAAAAGTGCAGTGACCTCAGTTTTCACACATAATGTTATTTTGCATGCTATTCTGTGACTAGCCATAGACTTAGAACAACCTAGGTATTTACCATCTGTGTTTAAAAGAGTAGAACCCACTTCCGGCGTAGCCACGGCGGCTAACGCTACTACCAACCCATCACAGCTGCTGCCATTAGAGCTTATGGACAAATGTATAGGATCAAGAATTCACATTGTGATGAAGAGTGATAAGGAAATTGTTGGTACTCTTCTAGGATTTGATGACTTTGTCAATATGGTACTGGAAGATGTCACTGAGTTTGAAATCACACCATAAGGAAGAAGGATTACTAAATTAGACCAGATTTTGCTAAATGGAAATAATATAACAATGCTGGTTCCTGGAGGAGAAGGACTTGAAGTGTGAATGAGTTTCCTTGACTTATGCTAGATTCTGTTTTGTCTCTTAATGACAAGAAAATGGAATTTTTTTTCCCCCACCTTCTAATGTTTAAATCCCATAAAGCTAAGTTTCCCGTTAAAGGGAAGTGCTTTGAAGGTGTGTACCCATTTTTGTAAGTTAATCATGATTATCCTGGAAAAAGAAGAAAAGAGCTTCTTCTTTGAAGACAAGAATAAAGGTGTTTTTGGTAAAAAAAAAAAAAAAAAAAAAAAGTAGAACCTCCGCATGCTTTGTTCAAATACTTTCCTATTTTTCCATTACTTAGTTTTTATTTATAGTTAACGTTGCATATGGGAACTAATTCAAATTCGCTTGTATCTGTAAAACAGCAATCTATGCTGGAGATAAGAAATTAGCTTGCCAAAAAAGAATTTATCAGTTATGACTGTGATTATTGGTGACTTCTGCATCCTGGGGAGGTAAGGGGATAATTTGGGCTGATGGTAGAGTGGGAAATCTGCTGGAAGGAAGCAAACAAACTATTAGGTGGTTGAGAACTCCCAAGAGAGTTTGTATCATCTGGTTCAAAAGTTTCCTAGAGCAAATGACAGAACCTATTAGCGGAAGTATTTTTAATTAGCTGATCTGAATCCAAAAGAGGAATACAAGTCCAAATCAAGAGAGGAAGTTTCTTGAACTTCCTATTTAAAACAGATGTTTTAACAGAACTCTGATTAATTTCTGAATGTGATAATAACAGGATTGAACCCTGAAGCAGTTTATGAAAATGAGAAACTTAAAAGTAAATCATATCTAAGTACTTCTAAACGGTATATAGAATGCAGGGCATTTTTGCACTGGACAAGTTGTTCTGAGGCCAGTAGGTTCAAAGCTGATGTTTGGTAGTTGGTCGGGGGAGGGGAAGAATAGCAAGCTCTAACCTGGTACCTCTAGGCAGAGCCCCTGGTGGGTAGGGGGCCACAGAACATGGGAAGCAGGCTATATATAGGCAAACTGATGCAAAATCCAAGAGGACATGTTTTTGTTCTGTAACTTGGTGTACAGCTTCCTATGGATAAAGCAGTCCTCCTTTGCTGATGTAACATCTTGTTATAAGTTGAATTTCTGGTATGTTTTGTCTTTAGTATGTGAACTTAGAGGCTAGTTATTAAAGTGATGTGGCCTTATTTGCTAGAGAAGAATGTTTTGTTTGTTTGTTTTTAATTTAGAGCTCAAGTGTTCCTTTGCAGTGTTTGGCAGTGTATAAACATGAATTACTTGGGAGGGAGGTATTGGTTTTTTAGGGAGTACATCTTTCCCACTCTACAGCCAAGGAGACCTCCTGGGAGGAAACAGAATTCTAATTTGTTGTGAGGTTGCCTCACTCTGCACTCAGGAGACATCCTCCCCCAAATGCCTCCCCAAATCCTCTCTCATGCATACAGCTTTGGATCTCAAGTCATATGACTGGCTAGTAGTTTTGGGATACCACCCAAGGAGGATAAATATTTAGTAAGCTCAGAAATCAAGTGTAATTAGGAATTGATAACATGTTGAACTTCCTTTCCAGGAAGTTATCCAATAGCTAGTGTACTAAAAGACTTAATAAAAACTATACCATTTCACAATAATGTCGTAATAACAAATAATGTATTTAATGTGTTACCTAAAGTTTTCTTAAAGAAAAAAACATCAAGGTAACACTAGAGAGAAACATATAGGGGAAATTGTCTCTAAGTACACTTTACAAGCCACTAATGTCAAAAATATATAAAAACTCAGTGTCTCATATGTATATGTTCATTGAAATTTAGAGTTTTTTAAACTTTCAATTAGGAAAAAAAGGAAATTATGTTACTAAACATCTTCATATCAGAGGGCCCCAAATTTAAGTGCTTTGTTATTTTGAGTTTGCTGACAGAGGTGGTAAATATCTATGGTCTTTGGTTCCAATCTGCCTATAAAGTGCTCTCCAAATCACTATTGTCAGAAAAGTGGTATCTGTAAGAAGAAAAATTATGATACTTGTGCAAAATTATGATCTGTAAGAAGAAAAGTTATGAAAAATTATACCTGATTTTACTGAGGTTATTTTAGAGGCCCCAAATGACCTATATTTGAATCTTGTTCTGGGATGAAATGAAGACAGTAGGAGATGGAATAAAATTTGCTCATTGAATCTGTAATTTCATAAGATTTACAACATTATTTTATTGTACTATATATAAAAAGACAGGAAGAGACTTGGGAAATCAAGTGTCTCTTTTTTTTACATAAAGAATGGCATTAATCCCCAAAGCACTAATTTTTAAAAATGTATTTAATTTTTTTTTGCTGGCAACATGGACTGCATGTACCTCAGACAATTTTACTGTATAATGAGTTACTTCAAAATGCAATGGCTGAAAGCAATATATTTTTTTTGAGACTGAGTCTCGCTCTGTCCCCTAGGCTGGAGTGCAGTGGTGCCATCTCGGCTCACTGCAACTTCTGCCTCCTGGATTCAAGCTATTCTCCCGCCTCAGCCTCCAGAGTAACTGGGATTACAGGTGCATGCCACCGTGCCCAACTAATTTCTTGTATTTTTAGTAGAGATGGGGTTTCACCATGTTGGCCAGACTGGTCTTGAACTCCTGACCTCAAGTGATCCACCCGCTTCATCATCCCAAAGTGCTGGGATTACAGGCGTGAGCCACCAAGCCCGGCTTTAAAGCAACATTTTAAAAATTTCTCACAATTTTGTGTATTGGCTGGGTGACTCTTATTTGAGTAAGTTCAGTTGAGACTTGGGGAAAACATAGCTAATAAGCAACTATAGATTTAGTAAATCTGTTTAGTAAGTTTCAATTAATACAGCCAATATCATATAGATTTTATTTCACTATCTCTAGAAATAAAATGAAGTATATCTCCATATAAACAACATAATTTGGGGCTTACTTTTATTAAAGTACAATTTATATAAGATAAACTCTTATTTAGCATTATCAAATATTTCTGAGACATTTGATTTAATAACACAATCTGATTAATAGCATTAGCATACATAACATGCAAGGATTATGAGTTTGCTAATTTAAATACAGTAATTAAATGTTTTGGTCCACCAAGACATTGTTTCTTCTGTGTACGGACCCTTATTACTATGATGGAGATTTCGAAACGCTAGGATTAAGACAAGGCAACTAGCCGGGCGCGGTGGCTCACGCCTGTAATCCCAGCACTTTGGGAGGCCGAGGCGGGCGGATCACAAGGTCAGGAGATCGAGACCACGGTGAAACCCCGTCTCTACTAAAAATACAAAAAATTAGCCGGGCGCGGTGGCGGGCGCCTGTAGTCTCAGCTACTTAGGAGGCTGAGGCAGGAGAATGGCGTGAACCCGAGATCGCGCCACTGCACTCCAGCCTGGGCGACAGAGCGAGACTCCATCTCAAAAAAAAAAGACAAGGCAACTAAGTTGTGCAAAATGCTAGGATTAAGACAAGACAACTCTAAAATGCCTTAATCCTAGTATTTTGTAAATTTCCACTGCTGCACGCTAAAGGAGAAAGGAGGTATTGTAGTAATACAAAATGTTAACCCTTAAAGGGATTTTTGAGATGCTCTCTAATACCCTTATTTTGTACCGTGGAAGCAAAGGCAAAAGATTTCTGAATTACATCCACAATAAGAACAATTCTGATTTCACTCTTTATCTATGCTTTCTTAAGGGAAGGAAATTGGAGATACTTTAATTTTACCAGGGAGATTTGAGACCTGGGTCTTTTTACTATTTGGAATCTACTGCAGAACTTTTTTTTTTTTTTTTTTTAAGTAGTGAGAAACATCATTTTTATTTTGGATGCTAATTTTTAACTACATATTATTTAATTAGTATTTAAATTTTTTTGCCTGAAGATTTTGATATATTTTTAGGCATTTAAAGAGGTTGAAGCTGGAACATTTTTTCAATGAAAAAAATGAGACGGTTTATTAGGGCTTCTGGCATAGTACAATATAGTATGTATGTCTTAAGAGCTTCAGAAAACCTTCATAGCTAAATATTCTTAGGTATATAAGACATTCTATAGTTCATCCTACTTGGCTTTCTTATCTACCTCAAATTCAAGCCAAAAGGCTGAGGGACAAAATGGAAATAGCTCCACCTATTGGTCATCATGAGGTAAAGTTAACGACACCAAATTAAGAAAACATTTTCTTTTTGGCAGATAATCATGCACTGTGTGTAATTACTATGAACCTGCAAGTCTATGGCATAATATGATTTAATTAATGTTTACTTGTATACTAACTACATAAGTAAAAATAAAACTTAAATACTAGGTACTTGAGATTAATGTGAAAATAATAGGTAGAAATTTCTTCATGTTATTGATAAACCCTGACATAAGTTTCTGTACTCACAACATATACCATATGTTGACAAGGAGGTATTAATAATAAATTTTTCAGGTGAAAAAACTATTTGAGGTTTGAAAATTTTCTTTCCTCTGCTGTGTATAATCTCAGTGATGTTAGGAATCTGTCTCATTTGGTCATACATGTAGTTCCATGCCTACCTAGCACCGTATACAGCCTCAATAAATGAATGAAGTGAGTCATACTGATACGTGTTCATGAAGGCATAAAGGTTACTATAAAAGAAAAACCAGCTGAATATAAATATTAATTATCCATAATGTGCTGGACTATTGTAATTACTATCTCAATCTAGTTTAAATTTATTTTTATAAGAATAAATTTATATTTTAAAACATATAGGGGGGCCGAGGCAGGCAGATCACGAAGTCAGGAGATTAAGACCATCCTGACTAACACGGTGAAACTCCGTCTCTACTCTAATACAAAAAATTAGCTGGGCATGGTAGCGGACGCCTGTAGTCCCAGCTACTAGAGAGGCTGAGGCAGGAGAATGGTGTGAACCTGGGAGGCAGAGCTTGCAGAGAATCGAGACTGCGCCACTGCACTCCAGCCTGGGTGACAGAGCGAGACTCAATCTCAAAAAACATAATAATAATAATAAACATATAGTTATGCAAAAAAGAAGCAGTCAGAGACAAAAGTAAGTCACTTATATTTATTGACTTCTTAGAAATAATATGTCCTTATTAAAACTCTAATCCCCCCCCCCACACACACACAAAGAAATTGAAGGGCTATAAACATTGTTAAGAACAGAAAGTTTGGCTGGAAGATTAGTTACTTCTAGGAAATAGTCTGGTTTCTCATTATGGGGTTTGTATATAGTAATTACTATCTTTGTTTTCAGTTCTTACCTTGATTAAAACTGATCTACTATTGTCAGAACATTAGACGTAGTTTCTAAAGGGCTTTAAGAAATTTCGAGGTAAAGTACATATGCCAATATAAAGACATTGCCCAAGAACAGTAATGCAGGAGCGTCTATTAGCCTCATGTACCAGTTTTTGTTGGTTTTGTTATTTAACATTTATGATTTAACATTTATGATCTTTTAGTGATGATATAGCTTGATTCTCAGTTTCAGTTTAATTGAAAATGCCATGTCTTTTTTCTCTTTATAGAAAGCATCATCATTCACCAGTTACGAATGAACTCCAGATGAAATGGTAAACCAAGCACACACTGGGTGTGTGTATGACCTCTGAATCCCTATTGAATGGACAGCCCTCATTCATGACTAAGGTCCTCCATGCTACTGATCACTACTGGAAATATTTTACTACTTCCAGTGATTTTTTTTTTTTAAGGATATAATGTGAAAGCTGAAAATGACCTTGCTGATAGTATGAAAATATGTAGCAAGAAAGCAATTCAATCTATGTGCCAAAAGAAATTTCTTTTTGCAAAGCTTTCAGGTCTATGGGCACATGATGTATAACTTATTTTTTATAATACATTTTGTAATGTAATTTTTTTCCTAAAATGTTTCCCTTTTTCATAGTCTCTGGCACATATATCTACAGAATACACTGTCAGTTCTTCAAAGTGTTGGTATTGTTGCATTCAAAATAGTAACCTATAATTATTTTCTTTTTATCAATTTGTTAATTCTGAAAAAAAGAAAGTACAACTATATTTCCTGAGGTAAATTCAAGAGGTAAAACTTAGAAGCAGGAGATTCTGGAAGAGGTTTTACTATTGCTTGTACAATGCTATGGTTCTGATCATGGTTCAATACTAACAAATAATGCTCTGACTTAAAAGCTTAATTTTAAATACCAAAAATCAGTTTCTATAGTTGCTCTTTCTGGTGTTCTGGGCCAAAAACCTTGGATGAATTGATTTTTATATAGAACAAATTCATAAAAGGAGATGTACCAGTTTAACCAGTGAGGGTAATAAGAACAGCTTCGACTGACAGTTCAATTACACTTCTGATTGAATTATTTACTTGTATGTATACGACTTATAATAAGGACTGTGAAATAAAGCTAGTTCTCACAATCTAATCCAACCAAAACTTGAATATAAAAACAGACCTAAAATGTCAGTATCTTTTTAAAAAATAAGACTGGGCATGGTGGGTCATGCCTGTAATCCCAGCACTTTGGGAGGCCAAGGCGGGAGAATCGCTTAAGCCCAGGAGCTCAGGATCAGCCTGGGCAACACAGTGAGAGTTACTTTAAAAAAAATAAATAAATAAATAAAAAGGTAGCTGGGCCTGGTTGCTCCTGCCTGTAGTCCTAGCTATTTGGGAGGCTGAAGTGGGAGGATCACTTGAGCCCAGGAGATGGAGGCTGCAGTGAGCCATGATTGTGTCACTGCACTCCAGCCTGGGTGACAGAGTGAGACTCTCAAAACAAAGACAAACCCATACACACACACACACAAAAACCCCAAAATCCAGAAAGAAAAAGTAGTACAAGAAATCTCAGGATCGATAACTTTTTTCCCCTTGATTCTGAAAGACTTTCATAACTACAGGTAGGTTAGAGAATATATTCTTTTAAGATAAAAAGCACAACATGCATTACTGAAATCTCAATGTCAGAGCTACTGTTGAATTTAGGTTTATGTGAAAATGTGCATCTAAAGTCCCAACTTGAAACCCTGGTAATATACTTTTTTTTTTTAAAGACTGTTAATATGGACATGTTTTTATTAAGGTCTTTAAAGATAACTTTAAAGATAAATTAGAGTTGACACATCAGTTTCTGAATGTGGAAATCATTTATCATGTAACTTTACTGAAATTAAAGACAGCATGCTTCCGAGTGTCACAAGGATAACTAAAAGCCACACAAGGAGGACTGCTGGCCCATTTCTCTAGTCCACACGTTGTGCTCAGCTTTAGAAGCCCACACACGGGCATCCAAACTGAGTCTCTGGAATAGAAAAATTAATGCTGGATTTCCTCCCCTATCTAACCCTGGAAGGTTTTAAGGTACACCTTGGGAAATTGGCAAATCATTTTCAACATGTAAATTATATGACATGTTAAAATTATGTTTAATTTTTAAAAGTAAAAGAAATGTTACAGTAGGCTTGCCCTAGCTTGAATGATTGTGAAAACATCACATAATCTTCCAGAATTTTGGTTACTAAGAAAACTGGAGTGTGTATGTGTGAAGATTTTTAGAATTGTTACTGGGTTTTGTTTTCTGAAAATGTTGACTGTAATGACATTTTCAATTAGAAAAGTGTTTTAGTTAGACTGTTATATTTTTTGACTCACAGTTAAGTATCCTATTTGCCAATGTTTGTACCTCTGATGGCAAAATTATTCTGATATATTAGATTCGTATTTGAAGCAAATAACTTTCTCAACTTGTGGGAATTTTATTATACTAATAGTGAAAATGTTAGAGGATAAGATTTTAAATACTTCTTGATTTAAATTAAAATACTATAAGAAATGTATGTATATTTGGATTTGAAGGGTTTTTTCCTCCCTGGATTTATAATGAACTTGGAACTTACAAGAACAATGAGGATGATGGTGCAATTAGAGTCATTTAGATAGATGCTGAGCTTTTTCTGTCCATGCTATGATTAAGTCCTCTGTTTAAACCCAAAAGCAATCTGGGCGACACACAAATAAAATTAATTAGATTAATTTTGAAATAAGAGAATATGCAAAATTAACAACAACAAAAAAACCCAGAAAACACTGATCATCTCCTTATCTAATGAATAAGAAAATAAGATCATAAATAGTCACATCTCAACATGCATATCCATTTGAAAAAACTGCCCTCACATGCAATCCTGGCACAATCCTAGGCTCATAAAATTTCTCTATCTTTCCTTGTAAATAAGTCTCCAATCATCAATCTAAATGAGAATAATTTTTAATGAAATAATTGTAACTTTTCTGAAATATAATCATAATCAGTGTTTCTAGTTCAATTGAAGTAATCCGTAATTTTACCCTTTTCTTTCTGATAAGAGAGTGTTTCATGAGGATATCTTTGGTAGAGAGCTTTTCTCAAGTATTTTATAAAATATTCGAGTTTGATGAACATAGTAGATAAATACATCAGCTGTCAGATGCCTATGATTTTCACAAAATGTGAAGAATTCATTGTATCTTAGGATGACCATAAAAAAATTTATGGTGTGTAATCTCTAAGCATTAATAGAGACAACAACACTACTTCAGTAATACACAGCTACTAAAAATCAGTGGCAGAGCAAGAAAAAATGGTGTATCAGGCAATGTAAAGTTTTTGCCTTTTCTCCTAATGCTGTGGTTGAGTTTTCCTGGAAATGAATTAAAAAAAAAAAAAAAAAAAAAAAGCAAAAGTAGGGTGTGTTCATGAATCTGATAAGCAACAAGTCTAAAAATAGCAAAAGTGCAAAATGGTAGTTAAAAAAACACAACTGGCACCTGAGGCATATTTCCTCTTCTTTATCTCCAGTGCTATGCCTCTGCTAAAAATATGAATCACAAAGCAAAGCAAAAAAAGAAAAAAATTGTTGTAATACAATAAAAATCACTATAATAAAAGTTTATAAAAATTGAGAGTTTTTTGGAATTGACTTTGGCCTAGTGACCATTAGTATTTTTTTCTTAATTTTTCAGCATTTATTCCATAATAATGTGATAACAACTGTGTGTGTTACCTAGGCAAAATGCTGTAGATCCATACATTTGAACAGAAATGTTTAAAGATGCCATAACATGATACATTTATTTTCTGGTGTCGTTTTTTGTTTATATTATTTAGGGAAATTTTACCTTACCATCATAGATTTTGTTATTTTAATAATGAAGAACTATATTTATTTAATCTAGATTTTGTTTTAAAATTATCAACTGTTTGCTTCTACAAATAAGGGGTTTATAATGTGGCCTGATATTCTTAGAATTCTTTTAGGTCTAAGGGTTTTCAAAAGCAAAAGTACACTGAAAACTTTAAGAAATACATTCTATTTTTGCACCATTAAAAATTTTGTTTCCTTTAAGTTTTATCAAGTACATGAGTTTATTTTTCATTGAATCCAAGTGAATTTATGGATATATACTTATCTTTTATATGAATGTAATAGCTTGCTTTCAGTTCCTCACAGGTCATTGAAATTATTTAACCAATGAAAACATTCTCTGTTACTTCCAAAGTCAATTATGTTTATCAAAATCTCACTAGTGTGAGAAAAATAACAAGTGTAATATTAAAGCATTGTGCAATATCTTGAGTTGGAACATAATATTCAGAAAATTAAAATCATTTAAAATGAGTACGCAACCTTCTTTTTATTTAAAATGATTTGCTCTAAAACAGTTTTCATCTCTGTATTTCATATTTTCTTAAAAATGTGGTTTCTTTCACTATGGATAAGCAGATGTGGTATAGCAGGGCTGCCAGGATGAGGGATGCTCTTCCTCTGGATTATACCACGGTTTGATTCTTTAGTAAGATGAACACTTCAAGACACCAAGAAATGGAAACTGGTTAAAGGGTTTCCCTCCCTGCTTTATTCCCACAAACTGCATTGTCAATCAACATTCAGATGTTACTCCGCAGCTGCTGCTGTCAATCTAAAGGTAGATCACTCAGTAGAGCAAAGGCTCCTGAGGCTTCACCTGCAGTCCACAGTCCAGTATCTACAGAGGCAGTTGGGTCATGGTTTTTGCAAAGTGGGATATGGGTGAGAGTGGGGTTGTGTTCTGACTTCCTTTATTTTTATCAGCCTGTGCCAGAAATAGTGATCTATAGCCACATCCAGTCCTAACTTATCTTTGCCTTATTTGAAACAAGGGAATGGGTTTCTCTTATTAAATAATAAAAACATTAGTTTATTAATTCCTGCCAGGAAGTAGCCTTTTCCTATCCTTCCTTCAACTGCCCTGTCTCCCTTTCCCTGTTATTCAAGGACCTTTTCCATGACCACAGCTGCATTCTTTTTTGGCCGTTCTGGTTTTCAGTGCACAGTTCTTTTTTCTCCTTGATAGCAAAGCAGGTTTAGTCAAAATAACAGGGTGTTTTGTAGGCACCTAACGATTGGCTCCTAACCCCAGAGAATTGCTCCTTTGGGAGCAATACCTCAGTCAGGGTATTCTGTGCCAAATCTGCCTCACCAAATTATTCTGGCTGCTGATGCTTTCCTTGCAGAAATTTCTGTGCCCATGGAAGGTTTCAGAGGCAGATCATCTGGATTACATAAGAAAAGACCTTCAGTAATCACTGATTCTAAGGGAAGGTATGCCTTTGAAAAGACAAGAGTTTTATCAGGCCTCAAGATGGTTTATACTGCTTTATTGAGAGAGATGCGCTCATTTTTGCTTCACAAAGGGGCATGTATTGGTGCCCACGTGGAGCATTGACATAAGCAGGTGGTGGGACAACAAACTGATTATCTCCCAGAAATGGAGGGCACCAGAGATGTCTGTTTGCATGGTCACCATAATCTGCTGAGATCCTGCTTCAGGAAAAGAACATGATCACCCAGAGTACACAGTCTTGCTTAGTATTTATAGTACATGTAATATTAGCATAAGGCTCTCTTTTCTCTATTCCCCTACGTGGAGAACCACAATGTAACTCTGACCTTATTTCCAATTTCCTCACAGTTTTTGACATTGTAAGGGGGACAACATGTGGTACCTCCTCAATGCTCCTATAACCCCTTGAACACACATCTTGTGTGGCACTGACTTCATTATATAATATTTCAGTTGTCAGCAAGTTGTCTCTCCCACTAAAATGTGGGTTCATTGAGAGTAGGTCAGGTCAGTTCAACAAGATTTATCAACAAGATTTATCATTTATTTTATGGCCTAGGCACTTTGCCAGGTGTTGGAGATATAGAAATGCATAAAAACAGTCTCTGACCTTGAGGAACTCATTTATATCTGGTAACAAAGACCGATGTAAACAGATATTTTTCAATACTACACAGTAAATGCAAGGACAGACGTCATATATACATTACCTTGAGCTCTGAAAGCAGCTCTTAACTCCACCAAAGGGGTCAAAGAAGTATTCCTCAAATTGGCTACTGACCTGAATCTTGAAGGATGAGTGGGGATTAGCTAGCAAAGCAGTTTCAGTGGAGGTGAGGTGTGAAGTCAGGGAGCAGTGGGTTGCTGAGTGACTGGGTTAAGGATGCAAAGACAGCGAGTGCAGATTTCTCCTCCCAGAAGATTCAGTGACAATACAAATGATGTTGTGAAACAGTCTGTTGAACCTATCTTGTGCCTCATGGTGTGCTGGTCAGAGGGAAACCCTTGGTCTTCGTCTTTGTTGTCATAAATATTTAGTGCTATTGACAAAATATCCTGCCTGCCTGCCTTTGTTGTCATAAATATTTAGTGCTGACAAAATATCCTTTCCCCTTCCTTCCTCCCTCCCTCCTTTTTTTTGAGTGCAGGCTGGAGTACAGTGGCGCGATCTCGGCTCACTGCAACCTCCGCCTCCTGGGTTCAAGCGATTCTCCTGCCTCAGCTTCCTGAGTAGCTGGGACTACAGGCGCCCGCCACCACACCCGGCTAATTTTTTGTATTTTTAGTAGAGACGGGGTTTCACCATTTTAGCCAGGATGGTCTCGATCTCCTGACCTCGTGATCTGCCTGCCTCAGCCTCCCAAAATGTTGGGATGGATTACTGGCGTGAGCCACCAGGCCTGGCCCAATGTTTGATTTCTGAGGCTCAACAAAAGCCGACTTTCACATTTAAGTCCATTTTGTGAAGATACTTCATGAATATGTTGGACTTATTTTAATGACTCAAGTGACTCAAGTGTTTAAAAAAAAAATCATGATGAAATGAAATCCCTCTCACGCTGGCTTTCTAAAACTTGGAAAAATAGAAAAGTATAAATTTAAATCAAGTCTAAAAATGATCCAAACATATAATTATAAAGAATTAACGTTTTTAGGCTGGGTGCGGTGGCTCACGCCTGTAATTCCAGCACTTTGGAAGGCTGAGGTAGGCGGATCACCTGAGGTCAGGGGTTCGAGAGCAGCCTGGACAACATAGAGAAACCCCGTCTCTACTAAAAATACAAAAATTGGCTGGGCATGGTAGTGGGCACCTGTAATCCCAGCTACTCGGGAGGCTGAGGCAGGAGAATTGCTTGAACCCAGGAGGCGGAGGTAGCAATGAGCTGAGATCGTGCCATTGTACTCCAACCTGGGCGACAGAGCAAGACTCCACCTCAAAAAAAAAAAAAAAAAGAATTAACATTTTAAAAATATCTACTTTGCTGTATCTCTTGACGATTCTCTTGGCGTAAACTAAGCCTCTTTCCTCCTCTGTTCCCCTTTTTAAAGAAATAAACTGCTATACATGTAACAGATATCAGTTGGCTGTTAACCTAGAGATGGCAACATCATATTTGAAAAAAAGACCTTATCTATAATTGATGGCACCTAAAGAAAAAATAGGTGCCATGGGGATGTAATCAACTGAGAGATTCTATGCAGTGGAAGTCATGAAGTCTGAAGTCTTGTGAGAATTACATTCTTTAATTTAAAGTATGTAATCGGCTGGGCACGCCTGTAATCCCAGCACTTTGGGAAGCCAAGGCGGGTAGAGCGCCTGAGCTCAGGAGTTCGAGACCAGCTTGGGCAACATGGCAAAACCATGTCTCTACCAAAAATACAAAAAATTAGTTGGCTGTGGTGCCACACACCTGTGGTCCCAGGTACTTGGCAGGCTGAGGTTGGAGAATCGCTTGAGCCTGGGAGGTGGAGGTTGCAGTGAGCCACTGCAGTCCCACCTGGGCGATAGAGTAAGACAGTGCCTCAAGAAAACAAAAAACCAAAATCAAAAAGTATGGAATTATGAGAAATGAAGCCTTATTTCCATCCAAAACAAAGTTCTTAGGCTGTCTGCTACAGTATTTTGGTGTAATTGCTCTTCCCTCTAATGACACTAACCGTTAAAATATCTCGTTTGACTCGTATTTCTGATTACTGACTGGCTATTCAAGAACTTGCAAAATTTTCTATCACAACACCAATGACCTCAGGCTAATCAGTCAATCTCTCAGTGTGAGAACAAAGGGAGTTTCTTAAATATCTAACCGAAAGTATTCCATAAGTACACTACATAAAAATCAGGAAAAGGTCAATTTTAAAAAGTAATTTTTAAAACCCAGTTTGAATCAATATCTGATGCAATAAATACAGGAAATGAAGTTTATTATACAATTTCTACATCACTCTTTCTCCTAAAAGTCCTCTGAGATAATTAAAAATGATCATTTTGCAGTTCCACCAAGCTGCCATGGTCAACTGAAAAGGAAAAGATATTTTTGTTGTTGTTGTTCCTGCAAAAATATGACCCAGCCACTGAAAATAATTCAAACCATTTCCAGTCACTAAGAACTTTCTCTGAAACTCATGATGGTAAAAACTATGACACATTTCTCGGCCCTCTTCAACTTTTTAAAATATCCTTGTTACAGATGTGAATGAAATGGTTGAATATGGTTAGAAGCTAGAGAGCTACAGTAGCACCAAACATAAAAGGAACCCAACAATCATATTTGTGTGGCAAATCTACTTTGGTTAGGCAGTGAAAAGACCAGCTGCAGTTTCCTCTTCCTTGTTCCCAGATACCCAATAGTTACTCTTCTGTATTTTTTTCTTAGATGTTTCTGGTTACTGAATTCAGTGGCACAACACAGCAATTGAACTAAAAAATGAAAATTGTATAAAACTTCCCATCCAAAGGCTAAATATATCCACCTTTTCAGATTGTTGGGCTTGCATCTGTTCTATCATTTTGGATTCACTTTTGTATTGGGGCTCGTGCATTGACTGCATACTTAGAATGTTAATCTGATAGCATTAATAAATGTCATTTAGCCATACAAATTCCACTTTTACCAAGAATCAGCACATGAACAATCATTTGAACAATATAAGTGTAATCTAAATGTATCAACATACATACACACAAACACACACCAGTCGCTCCTAGCAATCAGTTTGAAAATGTGTAAATGGTAAACCATTGTGAGAACTATTCTCTTCTGTTGCCCTAGAAATGCTGAATGATGCTTTTTGAAAATTCCTACTTCAGCAGATTAAATGAAAAACCACCTAGTAAGGACTATCATAAAATAATGTGACCAAGAAAATCACAAAATTGTGAGTCCCCTGAGATAATAATGTGGAGCTGAAAAGAATGTTTCAGCTGGGTAAAGATGCATATTGTGGTGGCAGAATACAGTAGTAGAAAATGAAATGGAGGGATATCAAGACATCTGGAAAAGCAATTTCATCCATCTGGACCTCATCTGAAAATGTTAAGTTTTAGAGAAGAATCTCAGGAGGTTTCAGTTCTATACATGTTTCAGTCAAAATGGAATTTCTAATAAAAAAAGAGACAAGGGATTAACTCATTTTCCTATGAACAAACAAAAATAAAGAAAAAGGAAGCAGATAAATACATCACAATCACTCAGCTCACTAGAACAAAACCAAAAAATGAAGGTAAAATGACCATTTATACAGAGTGCTGGAATAGCAAAATATTAAAAAATGATCAAATTTAGTGGGCATGATGATATAGGCAGAAATGGGGAGGAAAAACCTGCCTTATATGTACTTTTGCAATATGCCCATATTTTGGCATACATTTTTACTAACAGAACTTAGCAAAATAAAAGGATTCCATGCCTTCTCCATTAACTGTGATAGATTGTTTCCTATTTGAGCCTGGGGTTGAAGGTAAACTTAACAGATCAAAACAAAATATAGACCTAAGTATGTCAGCAGTGCTAAGAATTTGAGCATGAATGTCATGTAAGAGCAAACCCAAGCAAGTCGGTTATTAGAGGGCAACAAGTATTGTATCACTCTAAACTCTGCCTAGTAAATATGTGATTGGCTCACATTTTTTAGACTTCTGGTCATTTTGAAAAAAATTTAACTATAAATTTTTTTTTTTTTTTTTGAGATGGAGTTTCACTCTTGTTGCCCAGGCTGGAGTGCAACGGCGGATCTCGGGCTCACTGCAACCTTCGCCTCCCGGGTTCAAGTGATTCTCCTGCCTCAGCCTCCCGAGTAGCTGGGATTACAGGCCCGGCCACCACACCCGGCTAATTTTGTATTTTTAGTAAAGACGGGGTTTTATCACGTTGGCCAGGCTAGTCTCGAACTCCTGACCTCAGGTGATCCACCCGCCTCGGCCTTCCAAAGTGTTGGGATTACAGGCGTGACCCACGGTGCCTGGCCTAACTGTAAATTATAAGGACCAAGCACTCCTTATTTTCTCTTTCCTCAGTTTAACTTATTTAAGGCATTACTGCAGACTAAGCCTAAAAGTAATTTGTTTTCAAATGATGCGACTTACTCTCTGGCCTAGATTTCAAAGATGTCAGTATAATGTGGATTGTATATAATTGTTTAAATTTTACAAATAACATACGCCTATTATAGAAATTTTGGAAAATACAGAAAAGTGCAAAGAAACAGGAAAAAAAAAAATCCTCCATCCGGTCAACAGAGTTACCATTATTCACTTTTTAGTTCCGCTCTATATTATACTTCTACAGTCGCTACACTACTCTAATATCCTGACTTAGTCACCTTTTACATCACGAGTATTTCCTTGGGTCATTAAATATCTGGCACTTTTAAAGTGTTTACGGGGTATCTTATTTTGTAGTAATGCTATATGTCCTGGTTTTTACAACAGTAAGAGAAAAAGCTACAGCCTATTACAAAACACTTCCTGTATCAATGCGCAAAAGAGAAAGGTGGACATAGAAAAGGGGAAAAGTAACGTGAGAATCAGCAATAGAGAAAAAATAAGTGAGAATCGCTTAATTAGAGGCAAGATAATAGGGCTAAGTCACATTATTGATTCTTGACTTTAGGACAAAAGGGGTACATGTTACGCACCTGTGTTCCAAGTTTATACTTGCACCTTGAATAGCGATTTATTTAATTAAACTCGCGGTTTTACAACCTAAGCAAATACTGCTAATTCTCCCCCGACTCAATCCCCCTTGAGGCCGCCTTTTAAATGCTCCGACTCCCTTCAGAGAAAGCCTCGAGGTAAAAAGAAAAACCTGTCTGGCAATCCAGACCTGCAGTCGCCACTATAACCAGAGTAGCAGGCAGGTGTGTGCTAACTAACGCCACGGCCAACAGAGCAAAGATACGCCTACAGCGCAGGCGCGGAATCCCTTAGCTCTAGGGCCGCGCATGCGCCAATGTAGCTTCGCGATCGGGTGGCTGAGTCCGTCACAGGACAGATGATCAGGGTGCGTCCGCCTTTTCCTTCCCCCTTCTATCCTCCTCCCCTTTCCCCTCCCCTTGTCCCTCCTTCTTCTCCCTCCTCCCTCTCTCCCTCCCTCTGGCGTCTCCAGCCCACTTATGCTTCCTGTCCGCGGCCTTTGGCGGAAGAGTGTCCCGCCTCTTCCGCTCTACAGCGGAGGCGGCTGTGGCGGTGGCCCTGGTGGCGGCGGCGGCGGCGGCGGCAGCGGCGCTCGAGCGGTTCCTGTCAGGGTCAGCCGGCGGGCCCCCTGGGTGGTCCACCTGCAAGTGGCGGAGCGGTGCCCCGGGGATCGATGGCGATGAACTATAACGCGAAGGATGAAGTGGACGGTGGGCCCCCTTGTGCTCCGGGGGGCACCGCGAAGACTCGGAGACCGGATAACACGGCCTTCAAACAGCAACGGCTGCCAGCTTGGCAGCCCATCCTTACGGCTGGCACAGTGCTACCTATTTTCTTCATCATCGGCCTCATCTTCATTCCCATTGGCATTGGCATCTTTGTCACCTCCAACAACATCCGCGAGATCGAGGTGAGGGGAGGGAGCTGTGGTGGGAGTTGGCGTTGCTCGGGAGGACGGTCCTACGCGCCCGCCCCACTCCTTTCCCAGCGCCCTGAAGCCAGTTGACACGCGGACCCCGCGCCGCCCCCCACCCCCTTCCCTCTGTTTTTTCTTTCTCTTTCTCCGGGTTTCCTGAATTTGCAGCTTTGTCCTAGCTTTGTCTTGCGATTTACGAAAGGGCAAATCGACGGGATGAGCTGAGACGGAATGAATGTTTAATGCAGAAGATGGGTCAGGTGGAGAACGCTTCTTCAGTAGGCGGTTTGTGTGGTTCCATGGGGGATTAGCGGGGGTTGTTCACGGAGGTAAAAAGAGAAGTGGGGGCGGGGGGCAATTGTAGCTAGGTAGATGCAACCCTGAGTGAATTGACAGGGTCAAAAGTGTCATTACCTTTGTGGGCGTTATCCGAAGACACAGAGATGAACACCTTGGCCATTGTTGGGAAAAGAACCAGAGTCGTAGAGGTATTGACGATTCTAATGTAAAGAAGCTGTCGCATGTTATCAGGTCACATATGAGGACTTAAGACAAATGTGCATAGTACTTTTCATTTTGAGCTAATTCGATATTTTCAGTTGTAGGGCAAGATACACAGGAAAGATAACCTGATACTTCAATTCTGGTTTTGCTTTTAGGCTACGTTTATTAATGGGCCCTATATTTGCTGGGCTTTTTTTTTTTTTTTTTTTTTTTTTTACAAAAAGAGCCAGTGACCACATTCAGGGAGTAAGTTGTCCACTGTCTACCAAACATTTTACTGATACCAGCTTTGCTGAATATGTAAGACATGACAGGAAAACTTGGGGAAACATTTCTTTGTCAGAAGCACAGTATCTTTATCTGTAGGGGTGAAGATGGTTGATAGTACACTGTATTAATATATGCTGTATAGGTGTCCAGTATTAAGCATCTCTCATCTTTTCTTGCATATCTGAGAATGTTGTTGTTTTCTAAATCTATTTGAAAGGGCAGGAACTAGTAAGAAGTTCTTTTGATTCCTTCTGTTCTATTTATACACACACACACACTTTAATAAATATACTTACTTACGTGATTTAATGGGACTTTGAGAGTAATTTTATTTTTAACTACTGAAATAGGGATGGGGTTCCAGTTTAATTTGCAGTGTTATCTCTAAAAGCAAGATTGATGTGTTTTGTAATTCTACAGTGCTTACTTCAGTGTTGATGACAGTAATAAGAATAGTATCTATAGAATAACTAGTTTTAAAATTTTTTACTAAAAATTTATTCTCAATTTAATAACTAAAGAGTTACAGTATTTTTTTTCAGCATGTATTTTAGTTTGTTTTATCACCTTAATCTCCCTAATAATCCTGCAAATGTAGTACTTCTTGTTCTAACCATACTAGGATCACACATTATATTAGTATATGGGCAAAGTGGTGTCATGCAAGGAACATGGGCATTGGCTGGGGTCAGGCAGAACTGGTTTTAAATTCTAGCTCAGCTACTAACCAGCTCAGTTTCTTGGAAAATTTCCTTAATCTCTCTGAGCTTCAGTTTCCTGCAAAATAGGTAGAATAATTCATATCTTCTAAGGTGTGAGAATTAGAAGCAATGTAAATAAGATGTCTGGCAGTAGGGATCTGTCTCCTGATCCTTAATCAGGAGATGAGAAAGAGAGAGTTTGAGATTTGACAGTAAACTAGTTAAGAGTATTATAAAAAATGAGACAGAAACTCAGGTATCTTGATTCCCAGCTTTAAGCTTTCACCCTACACTAAGATCCTTACTGCAATGTTAATAAAGTAGAAGAAAATAATTTAACATCTGAAATTTGAATGATTTTATTTAAACTTCTTAAGATAATAAGATGAAAATAGCAATAATTTGGAATTGTATATAAGTTAGTATTTTCAGAGCTCAACTTCCATTAATATTTACCATAGTAGAAAAATAAATGTTTAACTTTTCTTAAAATCTTTGGGTTTTGGAGTAAAATAAGGTTCTTCACACTAAGTAGTAGACAAAATAGAAATTTTTCAAATAGCTCTCATGTGTAATTCTGATTTCAAGTTGCCTGAAGAATCTGCTGCAGCTTAGCCTGGTTAAAAGGGCACTGAAGAGTCAGGGAATTAGGGTTGAAATCCCACCTCTGTCACTCTGTACTTTGTGATCTTAGGTATAATTTTGAGTCCAGTTTCTTTACTTGAAGAACCAAAAGATTCAGATTAAACTGCCTCTAAGAGGCTGTTCAACTCTAAAATTCTATGATTTCCAATTCAAATGTGATTTTTAAAAAACTGGATGTGTTTAAATTGTATTGCCTTTGGAGCAAGAGGAAATGAAAACTAAGAATAATTTAGAATTTTTTACTGACAATGAACATACAGTTGTGCAGACAGAATCCACATATGTATTTTTAAAGTTTGGATGCTGGATATATAGAGAAATGCTTCTGAATTGTGTCTAGAGTTATTAGAAAAACCTACAGAGATTCCCCAAACACACATACTTGTTTCCTTCTTGTTCTCTACTCTGTTAGCCACTAGTTGTAATTGGGTAATGAGAAGTTCTTACCAACATTCACTTTCATACTGTAAGTTACTCACACTTTATTTTTTATTTGAGAAAATCTTCATTGCTATATTAGTTCAAATTACTAGGGCAAAGGAGACTTGTCAAATCCAAATGCTTTTGTAATGTAGTTTAAAGTGCCAAAATCAAAAATTCAAACTTTTTCAAGTATAAAATCACTGGATTTTTCTCATTCCTGCAGAAATATTACACTAAAAATTACTACTTTTGAAAAGTGTCTTGGATACCCCTGGAAAAAGATATTTTCACATTTTAATGCTTACATTTGGTAGCAGATTTCCTCTACTTGTTAGATTTATGTATCTTATTTAGTTAGTTTTTAGATTTTCAATAATCTAAATAAAATGAGGCTAATAGAAAATCATAATTCATTCATGAGAAAATATTTTAAATATTTAATATCTTCATTTATTATTAGGAGCAAGGAATGAGGATTTCCTTTAATTTGGCAGTTGTGAGTCAGGCACATCTTTCAAAGGCATTGATTTTCTAGTCTAGGGCCCTTGTTGGTGAGACTGAGATGCAGAGGTTACTTGAAAAATAGTGAGGTTATTCTTAACTTTTGTAAAAGTATTTAT